AAGAAAGATACGTCAGCGAAAGATCCCGATCGTACGAAGAATATAGAGAAGAGTGATGATAGCATCGAAGTAGAAATGCAGACGGATCACGTGGCCGGCGTCACGAAGATCAAGGATCTCGAAGAAATTGCAAGTTTAACCACAACTTCATCGACTACAACACCGACATTAACTACGACGACATCGAGCACAACAGCATCGACTACGACGACGTCGAGCACAATGGCATCGAGCACAACGACATCGAGCACAACGGCATCGAGCACAACGGCGTCAATCATGGTAACCTCAACCACAACAGATTCGACCATAACGGCATCAAGCTCGACTCCGATCACAACTACGACTGCTCGATCGACGACCATCACCCGTCGACCGAAAACTACCACCCCTCGTGCCACGCCGCCGAAAATCTTTAAGCCTACTGGGAACAAAAGGATTTATGCTTACATTCCTCCTACGACGACTCCGAATCCGGTCGTAATCAAACCGAGATTGAGCCTATATAACCCGAAGCCGGCGAAACCGATTAAATCTTATAACGAATTGGCGCCGAAACCAACGATCAGGAAGCTCATTTTACCTACACGAACATCTACTACTACTACCACTGAAGGTGTTACTATTACTACTACAGAAATATTGAATACTGAAAACCCGGAAATAACGACGGAGCCTGTGACAATAACGACGGCAGCATCGACGGCGGCAGTATCGACGACGGCACCATTGACGACGGCAGCAACGATGGCAACAGCGATGACGACAGCAGCAACGACGACGGCAGCAACGACAACGGCGGCAATGACGACAATGGCAGCAACGACGACGACGACGGAGTCTAGCAGGAGCGAGGAGAACGGTCTCGAGAGCAAACTGGAAACAAACGAATATATATCCCTCGATTCTCTCGCAAAGAATAATCAAACGAACAAGGACGATCAACTTCCGAGTTCGTCCGAGCAAAATACTTCGGCCAACTCTTCAGAAAACACTGATCCGGGAATGACAACCATGAAAATTGAAACTTTTACTCCTTATCCTCTATTTAAATTATCCACTCTCGCGCCTTCCATTGAGCGGACAACGAAGGAAATAGAAGTTATACCACAGGAAACGACAGAGGACATTGATACTCTCGTTCCAACGACTATTCCACCGATAACGTTGCTGTTCGAAAAGTCCGAGTATGCTGAAATCGCACCGAGTACTGAGAAGTACCTTGAAATAACGGAGACCACTATAGC